TTAGAATTAAATGAGATTTTTCGAATATTGTACAATTATTGTATTTCTTGTCTTCTTGAACGCAGCCATAGTGCTGTCGTCTAGTGAAGCATTTTCTCTTATAAAGTTAACAACAATTTTCGCGATTATTTGTGAGTCTTTCTACAAAAGTTATTACTGTCGAAGAAAATACAATTTATGAATTTTAAAACAGTGATAAGTGATTGCATGGAAGTATATATGGTGAGGAGTTACTAAAGTTTCAATAAATACTAATTTCAAGTCCCACCCGTCACACTGAAACATATATGTATATTTTTATTTTAACCAATAAATATGCAATCTATTGGCATTTACTATTGTAAAAGTAAGAATTATGCTAAGGGTCATTATTTTGGCTTGGTTGGGCATTGTGCACGTAAATAGGAATGTACATATTAAGATTTGGAAGTGTGTCCCACCCGTCACAGCGATGGGTGGAACACACTTCAAAACGTTTTTACTTCGAATAAATGTTTGTATTTTCATGAATTCGAATTTTTACGATGTTTACTAGGTGTAACAGTTTCTTTAATTTCGGAGTTTAACATTAATGTGCTAAATTATGACGACTGGGACACCATTTTGTGCCAAGTGGGACAAGTTACATTTGAATACATAGTATTAAAAAAAATACACTGTTTATATTTAGATCGATCATTTGCAAGCAAATTTTTTATAATTCTTCTCATAATTAAGACATAACACATAAAAAAGACAATTAAAAAGTGACAACATTTTTCCTGATGATTTTTAGTATCAGGAAATTCATAAAAAGTTTGTCTCCACTAGTTTTAACTATATATTCGAGTAAAACTTCTAAAATTCGATATATTTTGATATGATACAAAATCTTCAAGGATGCGGCAGGATTTTTCAAATTTATTAACGCATTTTACATGCGTGACTTTGATTTCGTGTCGTCATTGATAGTGCTTCAAGAAAAATAGTAGGATTACTCTATTTGTCAGTTATTACTGTTATTACTTATATATACTATTTATCAGTTATTTAATTCTGTTTTTTTTTATGCTAAAATGTCTTAATAAGACAAATATTATAAAATATTTGCTTACTAATGATGGATCTCATATTAAACAGTGTAATTCTGTGTATTCAAATGTAACTCGTCTCACCTGTCACAAAACCATGGCACACCCGTCACAACTTAACATATTAATTTCCTTAAAATTTATCAAAGTTATTAATTAAGTGTATATTAACATTCAAATTATGTCATATGAAAAACTTGCTGAACAAAATATTGATAATTTGTCTTGATCTTGGCAATGAAGCCATCAACTCAAAACAGGCAGGTGTCGTGATTGTCCCACCCGTCACACTTAGAAAATTAAAAGTTTTGAGTATAAATAAATTTATCATAAATTTATGTAAATAAATAGTCGCAGTTGAATTGCATATCTGGCTTCATGATATTTATATAAGATTTTATGTCTAATTAACCAGTGGTTAGGGAGGAATTACATAAAGTTCAAGAAAAAAGGAGTCAAAATGTCCCACCCGTCACTTTGGAATGGCCCTTTATTTATTTTGTAAGTTTTTGAAATAGGTTATAATTATGTAAAGATAGATAATTTAGTGGATGTTACAAGTAAAAAAAAAATGTAAATAATTACTGCAAGGTAGTTAATATGTTTGACAATTTTGTTTTACGGTTTTTATGAAATTGTTTTGCATACAAAATGATTCAAGTTATGGTGCCTGATGTAAAATCCAAAAATTTGTTCTGTTTAATCTGATGCTATAAAAAACGAAGTACAAGTATGATGTATGATCATAGTATAATAAGAGCAAGTAGGGCAAATCCCGCCTGTTCGGCGCTTAAATGCCTATACTTCGTTTTCAGCGTAGGGTTGTCACATTATTTTAGTTGTACCTACTGGATGTAAACATAATTTGAAAAACAAACAAGGTGTTTATTACAGTATTCTCGAGCTTTATTGAAATAACATTTGTTAAATGAAGTAGGTACTTGAATATTGATTTTTTAAAACCAGTATTGCGGATCTTGATTAAATAAAATGTAATGCTGAACAATTCTGAATTTGATGCACTCTTATTTAAACAACCATAAACACGGCAATAAACTCGTTTATATTTGATGTCACGCGAGTGCACCGCGATATATGCGACTGTGTGCGTCCAGACACGGCGTACGGCGGGCGTGCACACATACAAGCCGCGCTGCTGCGTTCGTATAGAGTTACCATACTTATCTCATTATTCTATGCTCACTTTTTGTACGGTAAAATCGCCTCCAGTGCAACGGAACAAGATCTGTCAAGGTGTAGCTTGATGTGCTTTTGACTGTACAATAAAGAATATTTTATAGGTATTAGTTTCTGTTTAGACAACGATAAATTATTTACGTCACAACATGAAATTTTTAATAGAATTACGCAAATAAGTTGATTCTGTCCAAATTTACATTTATACTTAGCATACTAGCAGAACGACGTGTGAAATTCTTTTTATATCTTTTAAAAAGATCTTAGACGTAAGCGCGTAAGGCTCAATTTATATTGCGGCGGAACGGAATGGAAGCGACTTTTTGTAACGATATTGTGTGTACATAGCATAATGAACTTTATGGTCAGTTGTGTTACGTACGTACTAGATACGAGCCAAAATCTTCCGTAATGTTTATTATGCTATGTACAATATCGAAACAAAAATTCCCTTCCATTCCGTTCCGCTGAATTATAAATTAATCGTAATGGCCAGCGCACACCGGTGGACGGGAACGCAGAGGACATTAAATTTGTCATCGTATATTTTATACTAGGGCCATTGAAATAAGCTATAGATTGCAATACTCTTAAGATCGGAGCATCGCGGCGCAATCAATATGCGTCTCAGAGCATTTAAAATTGTACATTATTTCAATTCTTTTAGCATAGAATATGCATTGATAAATTTAATTAATAGCTTCTGCATTGCCGTCCGTCGGCGCCAACAAATTAGACGTTTATAGAAGCGTTGAAGTGGCGCCACTGTGGCGCCGCAGCCGCGCTATTAGGGTGATGGCACCGATGATCGACATTTTAGGGGAAGTGTCTCGAAATTTGAAATAACTTTGTTTTTAAACGTAATATATATCAAGAGTGATTAGTTTACTTGACAGATATAATCTTCCAAGACAGAATATAACTGTAGTATGATTCGTAAAAAAAGCACATATAACCTCAACAAGAATTTCTCTAAATCTCCAGTAAAAAACAGCCCCATATCATTCTGCATTAGTTTTAATTATAGTGACCCTTCCTACCGACCCTTAGGGTATACGAGAAGGGATGGAAGATGGAAGATGGAGAAGGGAGGGAGGGAAGGGCGCACAGGAACCTTACAAGTTCTGGTTCTGACCCCAGATCTGCCAGTATACAGGGTTGTCACAGACCTCTGTCACTTGACTTCATACGGTTCTTCGAGAGGCTAGTGCCTCGGGTGAGTCGTCACGGGTGCACGTACAGTACCCTCCCTATTTTTCAGATAGGTACCGGAGCTGTAGGCACGCTCATTTCCCGTTGCGCATTGCACAACTAGCGGGTGCCACCGCTAAACCGTCGACTCTTGAGTCCACTACCAAATCTCCTCATTGGTGGCGGAGCTGTAAGGCACGCTCGCTTCCCGACGCCGATAAACGACCTATTTCCAGTTCCCAACAACCTAAGCGGCTGGAGGGACTGGAGGATATCTAGCTTATCGTCTACTAGCTCTGTCGGAGATGCCAGTCGCAGTGTCCTGCGACAATGTCCGGACATAGCTTCCAACTTAAAGGGCAACTCATGTGCGCGTCTCCTCGCTTCAGGTCCTCAACTAGACCGCTACTAAGACGCGCTAGCTGCTTACGAGACAGACCCCCGGCCACATCAACCGGGGCAGACAAACATGTCAGTCTCTGCAGCTAACCCCACACCCCAGCGAGTCCATACCCAAGTTCGTGTCCGCCAGAGACGCCAAAGCGGACAAAGATCCTGGTCTTGCCGTCGAGCCCGTAGTCTCTCCGGAAAACCCTACCTCTCGGGTAGATAGGGACACTCCAGTAATGAACACCAAAAATCTACTAATTGACAAGTCTCATGTGCGTGTGATTTCATTAGGGCGCATTTATACGACACAATGTCATCGCGCTCAATCCGCGCGGTCGCCGAGCGGCGCGGCGTCCGCGCTGCCGCCGCGACCGCGTGCGTGTAAGGCTCAACTCACACTGGCGCAAAGTCGAAGCTTCGCGACGCGTCATGATCTTGCCTATAGCATATTCATCTCTACTTTCTCATTATTAAGTTACAATTTGTGTTATGCAAATATGGAATCCAAGGGTCGACGTGCGCGTTCGCGCGTCGCCATGCGTTGTAGTTGAAAAACGGGACGCGACGCGACGCTTCGACTCTTTGCCAGTGTAAGTTGAGCCTAACTGTCATGGCAAAATACGCTCTATACATTTAGCTTTTACGTTTTAACTTAAATGAGCGTCCCAGCCGCGCGGGCGAGTCTGGCTTGAATTTGATCTACGCGGCGACCGCGCGGTTGTATTATTCAGAGGAATTTAATTGTTGTTGCCTAATAAATAGAATTGAGATTCGCGATTAATGTACACGAAGGCGTGGTACCTGGACGGTCGCCGCGCGGCCGCCGCGCGTATACTTTCTCTTCGTGTAACTTGGCGCTTACCCTTCAAAACTGAAACGCAGTAATTCTTGAAATGACATAGGTAAGGTGGCAGTTCACTTCACTGGACGAACTCTTTCACAGGGAACTCTCTCTACTGCTACTAAAAATTAGTAGCAGTACTGCTACTAAAAATTAGTAGCAGTAGAGATCCCTGTGTGATTATAACTAACTTTCTACTATAGTAGAGGGGATTTTAATTAAAATAGAGCATAGACTCTTCTCTAATAACGATTAATGAATAATGAACGCTAAAGACGATTCACGCTAAGAACAAAATGTGCTCTGTTCAGGTGACATCTCTAAACTCTCTGGACACGGGTGTACGCCCGCCGCCAAGCAGTGCAGCGTATGCGGCTGAGAGAGACGCCTGTCTCAACTACTTCGCTAGATGGAATGAAACTGACCAGGTTAGTTATATTTCTTTTCTTATTTAAGGCTTTTGTCGGTGGCGTAATCGCCAACCATCTCCGTTTAGAGTTTAAGAACAGAATAGAATTTATTTCATATTATCAATGTCACAATATTACAATTAAAAATACAATGTCAAGTGGTAATATGATCGTCACTAACGCAAACAATTACAAAGAATGTAAAATTAAGTAGTATACCACTGCTAAATACAACGAAGTCAAGTAAAACAAAATTACAATTGTTTTAAAAGATACTCATCTACATTGTAGAATTCATTATCCAATAAAAGGAGTTTTGGTCGGATATTAAACGTTAAGTCGTTTGTAACACTTGTTCTGTGGGTAGATGTTCGTAAAATCGACGACTGATTCCTGCGGATTTTTCGTTGCGTCTTCGGTACGGTGGGCAACGGATTTTAGTTTTAAGGCTTTGAAAGAGAGAAAGGAAAACGTTTACTCGTTAAATTGAGTGACCGTGCACACTTAAATATAATACTTGGACTCAAACATCAAGATCCTGAATAATTTTGAATAATAAGTGTAGTGGCGCAAAAGAGGAAAGGACACGACTCAGCAATATCGACTGTGAACCGGCAATCGGTGCTATCTCAATTTTGACAACTTTACAAGATGGAGAAAAAAATTGTTTGCGTCATTTATATAGCATCCGGTTTATTAAATAAAAATAATTGATGAAAAAAAAAAAGATTTTTTATTCATCCTGTAAAGTTGTCTAAATTTAGATAGTACCGGTTGCCAGTTCACAATCGATATGTCTTATCTCGGGCGAGACAGGCACTGAGTTTCAGTCGTCCTCTTTCAGCGTTCGCTGTGGGCGTTACCATTATGTCGTGACGACAGACAGTCGTGCACTTTAAAGTGTTGTGGCATGTATAGTTAAATGAAGTTGTTCACATATAGTACAACGCGTTTAACCGTCGTTCACGACTTGTTTGTCGTTACGACGTCAGACTGTTGTGACAATGGGAATAGCTAGAACGACAGTCGTCCAACATTTAATAAAACTTCACGATAAAAATGTGACGACAGATAATCACAACTTCAAACGATTCTGTTGTGCAAACGACAAGTGAACTGATAAGTAGTCGCCACCATCTAGTGGGAACAGCTAGCCACGACAGTCGTTCAACGATAAAATAAACGTCTACGACACAGTCACGTCAGATAGTCGTGATATGAGAACAGGCTAGACGCGACAGTCGTCCAACGATAAATAAAACGTTACCGACATAATGGGAACGCAACCTGAGTGCTAATGAAATAGTATTCGGAATTCGGTATAAGGAAATGCTTTCGTGGTTACTCACTAAATGATTATCAGTAACATCATGTATATAACCACAAATAGAGACATAATAGGGGCCATCCATCCCTGGCACCTCATCAGGCAAATGGGCCTTATATCACTTTTAAATATGAGAAAGAAAGCTGAAATAATACAGCACCATCAACTGACCTGTGTGTACGTCTCCGTATATTCCAAAAATATTCTGTATTTGTTGTATTAAAGATAATATCTCTAACCATGGGGGGCTGTTCCATTCGGTGGTGTGGGAAAAACAGCAAAACATCTTATTAAAAAATAAAACGGAATCACATTTCATCGGTAATTATAGCAAAGCTCAAGTTAAACTGGGAGATTTGCAGTGAAACAATTGACGAATTCGGGCTGGCCAATCGGAGCGCTGTTGTCATCGAAGTGATTTGGCATAATAGTTTTCAAACAAATCATATGAGATTTTGTCTCTATTTCTGATTATATACTCGGTTATCAGTAATTACAGGTTACTTACCAAAGTTCTTTTTGTTATCCCGATATTTCGGAACGGTTACACGCTCCATGGTCACGGGTTGGGATGGCAGATCAAGAGCAGACGTATCTGTCTACCGTCTGTCGCCGTCGACTTTAACCTTTGTCTCGATTTCATGTGGCGTTACCATTGTCATTCACTTCTTTTTCCAACAAATCAAATTCCCTGTATACGTTCCGAAATAAAGGGAAAACAAAAAGAACCTATTCTTGAAACTTCCTCATTGTTATTATTATAGATACAAAGACCCGAACAACACGAAGTAGAATTCTTTCAATTCAACAAATATACGCGATTTAAACCCGGTAAAATAGTTTCATTTCCTATGTTGAGTAACATGTGAAAAAGCTAATAACAAATCTCCACAAGTACCACAAAAAAATTTGTTATTAAGTTTTTAGTCAACACAAACTAAAACATTATTATTGAAATGTAAACAACATAATATTAATTTACACATTGAGAACAGGTACAATTGCCAATGCCGGGAAAAAAGGAAAAGAAAAAAAGAGGAAAAATATTGAACCCTATATAGCCCAAGCAACAACACGCACATCTTAAAGACAGGAAACAAAATAATGAGAGATAGATATTAAGTAAAGCATTGCTTAGTAAACGTTCCTCGAATCAAGCCTACACTAATATTGAACAGATCTATGTCAATAGACGGTTGATTGTACTCCTTAATTGCTCTGATAAAAAATGAATTTAATGATATTCAATGAAACTATTTAAGTTTGATGTTTTTGTCGATACAGGTGGAATTCGTGGAGCAGCTGTTGGCGCGCATGTGCCACTACCAGCATGGCCACATCAACTCGTATCTTAAGCCAATGCTGCAGAGGGACTTTATTTCTATGCTTCCTAGTAAGTGTGCCTAGTAACAGAACCGAGTAACCGACATAGCCCAAATAATTGCAAAACTTAGGCGGTAGTGTGCGGAGCACATTGCTCGTAAAACAGATTAGGGGTGCACGATTTTTTGGATCGTAATGGATCATGCCTCCTAATCGATCCACGATTCGGATTGTATGCTCCTGAATCGTTCTCACAAAAATGGTTACCTATCAGTTGTCCGAAATGACATTTTCCAGAAATGACGTTTGCTCGAATTTTCGTTACCTCGTTACTTTCGTTACGTTTTGAGAGGAAAATGTTTTTTCTTTTAAACCTAACTTAACCGAACCTAATCGTGTCTTTGCGATAAACATTCAAAATATCCTGAAAGAACAACGGTTTTGTTATAATTCGGTTTTCGGTGTAATGAAAACTCGAACAAACGTTATTTTGGAAAAAAATTCGAGTTTGTGATAGGTGACCCACAAAAATCACTTCAAAATTTGTAGTAATTAGACGCATTTTGTTACATGATTTAACTGCCTAATAATAATATTTTTTTCTATTCACAGATGCTAATCCTTTACAACTGACTAAATTTTTCAATAATAATGTCATATAACATGTCCACAGCATTATCCTCCTCTTTATTTTCATTTTTTGTACTTGACGAAATAATTAGTGAGATGAGACTTTTGTCTAAATTATGATCTAGACGATTCGATTCTGCATTTATTCGCGTTAAGGAAGCAACTTTAAAGAAATTTCGATCTAATTCATACAGAAACTTAATAAAATAACATTCAAGAGTTGCAAATAAATACTACGTGCAATCCTGCTAAAGCCCGCTCTGTGTGGACAGATCATAAAGGAGTTCCCCTGCTAGGGACGTATTGAAGGATATTGGACCTAAATAATCAAATATAAGCAATCACAAAAATGTAAAAGGTAAAGTTAAACTATTTTTTATTACAGAAAAAGGTCTCGACCACGTAGCAGAGAATATCCTATCGTACCTCGACGCAAAGTCGCTATGTGCGGCCGAATTAGTCTGCCGCGAATGGCAGCGTGTTATTTCAGAAGGCATGCTATGGAAGAAACTCGTCGAGAGAAAAGTCAGAACAGACTCGCTCTGGCGAGGACTTGCTGAGCGGAGAGGGTGGTTAGTTTTTTTTTTATATTATGTAGGCAGCAAACAAGCATGCGGCCCGCCTTATGGAAAGCGGTCTCCGTCGCCTATGAACGCCTGCAACATCAGGGGCGTCACGAGCGCGTTGCCAATCCTTTAAGAATCCTTCTCAAACCCCTTTTGAAGGACTCCATGCTGCATATTCTTGCAGGGAAACGCCGACAGGGAGTTCATTCCACAACCAAATTGTACGTGGGAGAAAGCTCTTCTGAAACCGTACAGTACGTGATCGACTCGGGTCCATAGCAGTGTTCATTTTCAAGTTCATTTTATAATTTATGTTACAATAAACAAACTATACTCCAGCCAAATACGATATAGGATGTTTAATAACAAAACGTTGCCAGGCAACCAATGGTGGCAGGTGTGAAGAACATTTTTTGTCACTGCATGAATTTAAATAGGTAATTAAGTAATTAGATTTTGTAGAAGTAATACTTGGCTAGCTAAAAGTACCTGTATGATTTAAAAGACGCATGATGCGAGTGAAGCTTCATAATTGACACTGTTTTTTGATTTGGTCTAGTATAGTGATGCGTCGTGGAAAATTTCCGTCTTGAAAAAAACCGTATTTTTCAAAAAAAAAAATTTCTTTTAATTTTCCACGTTTGACGTTGACACCTGTCGAAAGTTGAAGTTACTGAACGAAAACGATGGAGCGAATAAAAAGGGATTTTAGTCGCTGCTATGAAATCATTTTAAATTTTCTTTATTTTATTTTCGCTATACAAGTTCATTTTATAATTCACGCTAAATAAAACATCAAAACATATTTCTGAACGTAGAACATAATATGAGCCTTTAAAACTATGTTTTTCCCATAAAATTTCCACTATTGGAAACTTTTCGGAAAATTACCCAACAGTAGTCGAGTATTACTTATTTGACAGTAACCGTTTCGCACTAATGTCGGACGAAGAACGGGATTGGAACTAGAAATGTTTGCAATCTCTCCCTTCAAATAAAAAAATCATTAGGAATGACCCAGTTTTATGAATAATTAATTACTGTTAATTTTTACAAATCAAATCTATTTAATTTGCTACTTTTATTCATCGAGCATATAACCAGAAATAGAGACGAAATAAGGGCTATCCATCCCTGGCAACTCATCAGTTAAATGAGCCTTATACCACGTAAATATCAACTCTCGTTTGCACTGAAATAAAGACAGGCCAACAACTGACCTGTGTGTACATCTCCGTATATTCCAAAAATCTTTGTATTTATTGTAATAATGATAATATCTCTAACAATTGGGGGCTGTTCCATTCGGTGATGTGGGAGAAACAGCAAAACATCTAATTACAAAACAAACGGAATCACATTTCATCGGTAATTATAGCAAAGTTCAAGTTAAATTGGGAGATTTGAAGTGAAACAAATGACGACACCCGTCAATTGTTTCGAATTCGGGCTGGCCAATCGGAGCGCAGTTGTCACCGTAATGATTTGGCAGAATAGTTTTCAGACAAATTAAATGAAATTTCGCCTCTGTTTCTGGTTATATACTCAATGCTTTTATTGAACAAAATTCATTACAGACATACTACGAATAAAAAAATATCGAAGCAGACATGATATCGGGATTAGTATTATTGAATACCGTGAGAAAATATGAAAATTGTGGTATCTGTAAAGATGTCTTAGGTGAAAACCCTGAATATCGTACGTTTTATAACATCAAGTGACGTGACGAACAAGTCGCTTGCCTGATGGTAAGCTACACGCCTGTTCATAACAGTTGCAGCGCCACTCAGAGTTTTAAATCGCAAAGATCTGAGGTGCACTGGCACTGCGCCCATCACTCTTGAGACATAAGTCAACAAGTCCCATGTGCCTGTAATTTCACCAGCACCCTTATCCTTCCAAACCGGAACGCGGTAATGCTAACGTTACTGCTTGGCGGCAGAAATAGGTAAGGTGGCAGTATATCCCTGGACGATAATTTTGTAATAAAATAATTTGAGAGAAATAGTTGTATGGCCTACATTTATATCTCTCGTGAGTTTGGGTGTAATTTGTGGTTGTCTATGGCACCCGCGACACAGGGTTTCCCTAGTGCGGGGCTATGTTGAGTGTGTGCGTTATTATTATTATTATTCTACTACGTTTTGGCTAGAGTATAGTATGTTTCTTTTTGTATAATATTTCTTGACTAAGTTAGCCGTGGTTTATATTAGTTCAGAACCGACTGTCATACCAACCTGTGTATTGTGCTAATACTGTTATGTTTTCACCAGGATCCAGTATCTGTTCAAGCCAAAACCTGGCTGCCAGCATCCGTCTCATTCCTTCTACAGACAACTTTATCCCAAGATCATTCAGGACATTCGCTCTATTGAAGACAACTGGCGTATGGGACGGCATAATTTACAGGTAAGCCTGATTGCGGGAATGAATTGTCTTGGTCCGTCTCGAGGATATAATATAGGCCTTTGACCGATGTTCGATATCATTACTTGCCGTGCACATTTTTGCTAGTGCGTTTTACCCACACCATCTATTAGTGTCCAACCTTTCGGCGGTTTAGGGCCACAATGAGAAATGACCACAATTGAAAAGGACCACTTCTCAAATTGACCATTTCCTGAATTGACCACTTCTTGAAATGACCATTTCTTGAAACTACCATTTTATTTTTGATTATAAATTGTTGTTTTTTTTACTATTTTTAGGTCCTTTCTCCAATTTAGGACCCGCCATGCCTAGACATTTATCTAAACTAAAAATGAAAATGAAATGTTTGAAATGTTTTATTTGCCCGTTTTGTCAAATGGTTGCGAAATCCAGTTGTGATGGACGGAGTCTAATGTATATACATACTTAAAGGTCCATCATTAAACTTGTGGTAATGTTCCTAATCCGAAGTCAAAAATAGTGACTTGTAAAACTGGTCAATGCAAGAAGTAGCCATTTCAAGAAGTGTTATTTTGTAGAAGTAGCAATTAAAGAAATGGTAATTTCAAGACGTAGTCATTTGTAGAAGTGGTTATATGAAGATGTCATTTCTCATTGTGGTCCTAAACCGCCGAAAGGGAAATGATGATTTTGCGAATGTCACGGTTGAAAGAAAAAAGAAAAGGAAAACCATTGAGTTCTATTGAGACAATCACCGGTGTTGACGGGTTGGTCCGCGGAAATAATTAGGTGAGAATCTAAAAAAAAGGCGTCACAAATATGTAACACAAATTTATAAGTATACATTCTTCTCTGGATGAATTTACATAAGGTTGAAATATGGGGTGAAATAATTAAAGTTAAGAGGTTATTTATCTTAGTGGGCTGAATTTTGGGGAGTTAAGTTTTAAAAAAAAATGTGTAAAAGTTGCCTTACTCTAGGCCGCACTCGCACATCTCTGACTCTGATTTTGCGCAAAAGAATAAGTTCATTTCACTTATTTATTATTATTATTATAAAAAAATGAAGAGAATCGATTTAGGGACTATAGTTTAAGAACAAATAATAAAGAAAATAAAAAGGATTCAATTATTATGTTATTATATTAGGTTACTAAAATAAACAATCAAAAATCAAACAAAAAGTTAATAAAAAAGCGTAAAATCTGCAGCGACGAAACGAAATTTGAGCAATGACTCCAAAAACATCACCCAAAGATACAAAAGAAAACAACCCGCATTCAAAAGGTATGCACACGTATTAACCTGAGATATACAGACTACAGATTTATCGATCCTTTGGTTTAAATCTCTATAGAGAAATATTCCGTTTTACGACTCAGGTAGTTGGGTAATTTATTTTTTATCTTTATCATTTCAGTTTCGTATCTACTTTATATACTGCAATTCTTGCTTAAAATTACAATTGAAACAAATAATGTTTGTTTTTTATATATTATAACAAATTATCGAATATATAACCAGAATTAGAGACGAAATAAGGGTCATCTATCCCTCTTAACTCATCAGGCAAATGGGTCTTATATCACTGTTAAATATCAACTCTCGTTTACGCTGAAATCACTAATTAGAACTGAAATAGTACAGCGCCAACAACTGACCTGTGTGTACGTCTCCGTATATTCCAAAAACATTCTGTATTTATTGTAATAAAAAGAGATAATATCTCCAACAATGGGGGCTGTTCCCATTCGGTGGTATCATCTAATTACAAAACAAACTTAATCACATTTCATCGGTATAATTAAATATTAAAGTAGTTTTGCAATTTTCGTCCATTATAGCAAAGCTCAAGATAAAGTGGTCTATTTGAAGTGAAATAATTGACGACACCCGTCAATTGTTTCGAATTCGGGCTGGCCAATCGGAGCGCAGTTGTCACAGTGATGATTTCGCAGAATAGTGTTCAAACAAATTAGTAAATGACATTTCGTCTCTATTTCTGGTTATATACTCGATGTAACAAATTTACTATTTCTTTTTGTAACTTGTATTGAATTATTTAAAAATAGTATTCATGCAACGTAACAATTTGAAATGTCTCAGTACTCCTCCTATGTGAAAGTATCAGGGTGATGGGATCTTTGTGATTTAAACCTACTAGTGGCTCAGTAACTGTGTCGTTAACCCCATGTGCACAACATGTTCTATCCTGTCACTTGGTAGGATTAAAAAAAAGATAAAAACAACTGACTTTAATACGTGTTTTCAAGAAAGTTCTAAATAACAACTGTGTTTTATCATATTTTTGTTATTCAAAACTTGAAGGGGTGCATGCCATTAGCTCATGGGTACATCATATGAAGGATAGAAGCGATAAACTTTTGTAACTTTGGGAGACTATATCCCTGGACATATTTCAAAAAGAATATAGGAAGGATCACTTCAAAATGGTTGGATTGTGATAATAACGTTCTTAATAACCACTGGCCACATATAATATATAATTCTTTTTTAAAACTTCTGTGGCTCTACCACGAGATTATTGTGACAGTTGTCGCTAGCCACCGCGTAAATTACTTCACAATTTTGTATGGCAAATTATACAGCGCCTCTAGCGGTCACAAGAAGAAACAATATTTTGTAAAAAAATATAATTTTAATATTTTTGTAATGTCATGGTAGAGGCTCAGGTCAAGTGCGTATTTTATTATTTATCCATTTGTATAGAGCATAGGTTCCCAAACTTTTACGCTGAGCGTCCACTTAGGCTTGATAAAACTGTTCAGCGCCTGAGCGGTATAGGCACCACTTTGGGAAACTATGGTATAGAGCAAGATCGTACTAAATAAATAAATAAATAAATAACGCACACACTCAACATAGCCCCGCACTAGGGAAACCCTGTGTCGCGGGTGCCATGGACACACACATAGACAACCACAAATTACACCCAAACTCACGAGAGAAATAATTGTAGGCCATACAACTATTTCTCTCGGCCCGGGAATCGAACCTGGGACCTCTGCGTGGCAGTCCGGCATGGTAACCGTTCGGCCACGGAGACAGTTTGACTACTGTACTAATACTGATGAGAATTCTTCTGTAAAACGTGATTTTTTTTACTTTAATTTCTCGAAATTTATTGAAAATACGTGATACTTGGTGGCTGATCATGATAGAAGTGAATTATTTTTACATATAACAACCTTACAAAATACAAATAATTAAAACGTTTTTGAAAAATAAACCGATTATGTTTGTTACATCTATTTGCCAAGTTTTATTGATATTGGTTTACGGAAAGTGGGCGAAATACAATAAATCTGATTCATCCCTAATTTGCCACTCTTGGAGGTAGAATAATTTCCCCCTTGTGAAGTTCCTTATTAACAAAAAAAGCATAATCGAAATCGGTTTACATATGTCAGAGTAATCGCTTGACGGACACATAAAAAAGACGGTCGAATTGAGAACTTCCTCCTTTTTTTAAAGGCGGTTTATAAAACTAATAACCTAGCAAGACTAGGAAGCTCCATTTCGAAAAATTTTTCAAGAGTATGTTTTAAGTTTCAACGACCGTTTTAAAATATTTGTTTTAAAATGTTTACCTATTTTGTTTCTTTTTAATTTAAAAATTTTGAAATTAAAACTAAATTTTTCATTTTAAAATTGAATTTAAAAGGGGACGTAAATATTTTAAAACAGTCGTGAAAAACTGAACACCGACTATATTACTTACATTTGAATTAATGTAAAACTTTATTATGTGCCATACATTGACTTACAATTATATGGACGTCGGGTCCGCGCTAATAAGTGTCCGAACTTATAGGGCGTTAAAATCGTATACAGAGCGTCATTCACGCTTTAGTCTTCGTTTGTTCGACTGACAGCGAAGCAAGCAAAATTAGACAGTACTGCGATGACATTACAATTTAAATCTAACGTTTTAGCTTTTGCATATTACTTTACATGTCACTACGTTTAAATAGGTTGACTTGGGACATTTTTTTCGTGGTTTTTGTATTAGACCCGTCGTCCATTTATTTGTAAGTCAATGGTGCCATAACAATAATTTATTATATCTTTCCTTTTTTTATTTCTTTGCAGAGGATAAATTGTCGCTCGGAAAATTCGAAAGGCGTGTACTGCTTACAGTACGACGATAACAAGATCGTATCAGGTCTGAGGGATAACACAATCAAGATATGGGACAGGAAAACTTTGCAGTGCGTTAAGGTAAGTACACTGTAATAAACTTCACTGCTGGCCATGAGTGTTTAAAAGTTAATCCAGCAAATAGTTGTATATGTTGCATTCCATTGCACAATCCTGCACACGTAGCATATCGTCGCGATAAAATTTAGCTGTCAAAACCGCCATTTTGGAATTTTATCACAATAGCGAACATGGCGAGCACCGTGACTTGATATTTTTGTCACGTCGCGACTAGTGGCTGCGACAGTATATCGCAGTGTTAAAGATGGCCGCAAGATCACAGCTGATTTTAAAACATTTAGGGTCGTATTCTAGAACTCTACTCAATGCTCAAGTCAGGATTTGAGTATGATTTAAAGCACTCGAAATCATACTCAAGTCTCTGCCGTTAGGGTCGTATTTCCAGTGCTTGTGTTTCCAGTGCAATCCTGACTTAAGCATTGAGTAGAGTTCTAGAATACGACTCTTAGACAGTTCTGTACGGTAATTTTATGTTAGACATGAGATGAATTGAAGACGCTTGTGCATATTTTTAACGTAAAATGGAATCTGATGATCAACTGATGTTAAGCGACCGACAATGGTTCACGTTTGTATCAAAGTGAAAATTGAGCGCGACAAACGAGATAAAAAGAAACAAGTTCTTATATTCATTATTGGAAAAAGTTTTGGAGAATATTTTTAATACAGTTCAATACATGACAGTAAGAGAGCAATTAGAAATACGTTAATGTAATGTTGAGTGGATAAGAAGAACGAGTTCTTAGACAATTATAACATATAAAATAGACCGAGATGGCTTTTCTCTACAATTATTTCATTAAAGGCTTTATGTATGGCTTTTGCACATTTTGAAAGCGTTTTAAAGCTACCGTCGTTTTTCATTCATTATAATATAATTATTGAGCATTGACTATAGAGCCAACAGCTTGAACAGTTAACAAACAATTAAGAAACCCAAAACGTAATAATACATAAACTACAAATTTAATTTATGTGTAGGTTTATCAGAATCTCATGGCTTTAAATATTAGAAAAGTCAAATGTCAATTCAAAATATTACATTATATTTGTAGGCTCTCTATCGTTGTAGATTCTTCTCTCACTGAATTCTGACCAAATTCACCGGTCAATTTTTGAGTAAAAACGCGTGCGTTCCTCAACTTGACATTGGCGTAATCATCGATTATTTCGATGGGGCCATAATATTTAAAAGAAGAAGAAGACAAATGATTATGGATTTGACGTTTACATTATTGAGACTTTTTCGTGTCCTGGATAATTCATATTTTAAACTGAAGACTTTACACGGCTCTTACTGAAATTCTGAAGACTTAAACCAAAAGATCTTACATTAAAGACGTAAATCGTAACATTTTGTACTGAAGAAAAAGAGAAACTAATGACTAGGCAGCATGGTCTCTGACCTTCGCCTGTTGCATGCGGAACGAAGGAAAAATTAAATATTACTTGTGTCAAATGGCTGTCTGCTAAATTTTTTTCTCTTTAAAATAACGATTTTGTAGCAATAATTAGAATTACCGAGAATCCGCTTCAATCTCAACCAAAAAACACTGTAATAATGTTTGTAGCAAAATCAGCGGCGAATTAGATGCATCAAAGTCACATTTCACGATTTGGAAGCGGGTCTCAAATCTTGCCGGTTAGTAGCGGTAAATAAACCTGATCTTTGAAATATTAATGAAGCCAAATCAATGTATGTGGTACATTGACTTACAATTATATGGACGTCGGGTCCGCGCTAAAAAGTGTCCGAACTTATAGGGCGTTAAAATCGTATACAGAGCGTCATTCACGCTTTAGTCTTCGTTTGTTCGACTGACAGCGAAGCAAGCAAAATTAGACAGTACTGCGATGACATTGCAATTTAAATTCAACGTTTTAGCTTTTTCATATTGCTTTAAATTTAATGATGTGGTATGTAATTTTTGTTGGTACTAGTCGGCAAGACTACAGTGTATAGAGAATGATCGGTGAAAAAAAGATAAATGGCTTAAATGCGAATTACTTCAAACTGCAAACGTAAATATATCTGTTGCCCACTATGTAATTGACATATTTTTGTTTAATTTTAAAAGGTGTCAGAACTTAATTTTCTTACACAAATTCATACAGTTCTTAAAGCATGTACGAGCATGTAGAAGCATTTTATCTTAACATCAGGTGACGGGACGAACAAGTCGTGCGCCTGATGGTAAGCTACACGCCTGTTAACAATTGCAGTGCCACTTAGAGCTTCAAATTGTAAAAGATGTGAGGGGCACTGCCACTGCGCCCGTCACCCTGAGACATAAGTTGACAATTCCCAGGCCTGTAATTTCACCAGCAAAAATATATGAATTAAAATATACTGTATTGATTGCCCACTACACATTTAAGTTTGTCTAAGTGCCATCAGATTCTGGTACACCTATAAAAACTGTAACTACAAAACCCCGTCTTTTTTTGTTGCGTCGTTTTAGATCAAAAGGATTACAATTTTCGCGGCGATGATTAAACGATGGAGATTCTACAAAATGTACAACGGCAGCTAATTCAAACAAAAGAACGAATGACACTGGTGCTGTAGCTTAAAGTTACCTTACACTTAAATTCCATTCAACAGGAGCTACAAGGTCACACAGGCTCTGTCCTCTGTCTGCAATACGACGAACGCGCAATCATAAGCGGGTCCTCAGACAGCACGGTTCGCGTATGGGACGTGAACACTGGTACAATGCTCAATACGCTTATACATCACTGTGAGGCAGTATTGCATCTGCGATTCTGCAACGGCATGATGGTCACTTGCAGCAAGGTAAGACCCTTCGGCCCTGAGTAATTAATTTGCTAATTTTCTTGAAAATACAGGTTAAGCAAGGCAAGCTACAAGCCCCCGTAGTATGCCGCCTCGATAAAGCTATTATATCCACATCTTGCTGTCAAATTCGAGTGATAAACTGGTATTTTAAAATTTTATCACAATAGCGAACATGTATATCACGATGTCACATTTTTATGGCATATCACAGGCACCGCGACGTCACATTTTTATGCCAACGCAGCCGGCGACCAATCACTGCAAAAGATTAACACATTACCAAACATGGCTGCCAAGTCATCGCTGATTTCGTTTTAAAATGCGCTCAATTTTATCAACGTAAAAAGAGCGCGACTAACGGAATGAAAAGACATTTTTTGTTTCATGGTTTTCGCGACGATGATTAAACGAGAAAGATAAGCTATATACGCAATTTCATATCGTTGTTCTTGTTCTTCAAAATGTATAACAATAGTTTATTACCAAATAAGCGAACTTAGATTTATCAACTGAATTAAATATTGTCACGGGGAGGTTTATCACACATATTCTGCCACGTTACGGCCACTGATGTAAATAATGAGTCGTCTGACGAGGGTATTGGCGACTGGGTGCGTCGCCTTCGTCAAGACGAAGTATTCAGCCGAAGGCGGCAGACGACTCGGTATCAAAGCAAAAGAATCATTTCTTCCATAGGTAAAATAAATTAACACTTAAAAACGTTATTTTTAAGCTACTGCTCGTTCGCTGTGCCGACCTCCCTGAGAAGAACGAACAAGAACCTCTAAGGATTGCTCTTTCCAAATAAACTTAAATGCTATGAAATACCCTTTGAATCAAATTTGTGTGGGACAGAGTTGGGCAGTGGGTTAAAACCCAATCAACCCGCCCGGATTTTAACAGGGGTTTTACAAATGTCTTGTGAAAAAAAGGAAATGACAGAGGCAGAATGATTGATTCGTTCACGAACAAGTTGATTAAAAAAAATCTACCTCAAAAGTTCGCGGAATTACGTCTATTTGCCAAGTTTTATTGGAATAGGTTACCGGAAAGTGCGCGAAACCAGATTTATCCCCTAGTTTGCTACTCTTACAGGTGGAATATTTTCTACAAATTTAAATGGGACTAATATCGAGGTACCCTTTTTCCAACAAAAAAGAAGCATCAAAACCAACAAAATCGGTTCACAAAAAAGTTACATACATACAAAAAAAACTCCTCTTTTTCTGAAGTCGTCGGTTAAAAAGAACCAAAATTCTGATTGCAGGACCGCTCGATAGCTGTATGGGACATGACGTCAACAACAGAGATAATGCTGCGACGCGTTTTAGTCGGACACAGAGCTGCTGTCAACGTTGTCGACTTCGATGAGAAATATATTGTCAGTGCGTCTGGGGACCGCACTATTAAGGTAAATTCATTCATAAAAGTCCTTTTGTAATGGCGTCAAAAATTTACCGAAAGTACTAATAACGCTAGGCCACGTTGAGGCAACAGTCGCTGGTTCTAGTCCACTCGGGTCGAAGGAATTTGTATTTCTATTGTTTGTAAGATACCAAGTGACGGGACGAAGAAGTCCTGCGCCTGATGGTAAATGACACGCCTGCCCATAGCAATTTGTTGTGACACTCGAGAGCTTTAAACCGCAAAGATTTAAGGGGCACTGCCCCTGCGCCCGTCACACTGAGACACCAGTTGACAAGTCCCATGTACCTGTAATTTCACCAGTACTGTAATTCTCACATTACCGCTTGACGGTAGAAATAGGGAAGGTGGCAGTACTTCCCTGGACGAACTCTTTTACTGATGGACTGATTCATATGAACTAGGAGAGCAGATGTTATGGGTAGGCTTATCGCTTACCGCTAGGCGGACAGTTACATTTCTTTCGTGAGTTTGGGTGTAATTTGTGGTTGTCTAT